GAGGCGCATGGTGGTCCTTGGGTGCACGTGGCGTCTGTGAGTGGGGGATCGAGGTTGTGAGTGATGCGAGAGACATACCTGGTGCTTGAGGCGAACGGCATTGGCCGAGATCTGCTCATACTTCGGGGAGCTGTTGACATCACCAGCAGCATTGTAGATAGGCTAGATAGGATCTGCCATTTGTAGTCTGGGCGCAGAGCGCCAGATAGGATGTCGACATTGGTTCTTTGTTGATGATGATGAGACTATTCCAACATTGTCACATGAGCTTTTGATGTGCTCTTATTTGGTGGAACTTGTGTTGCAATTCTGCTCTTGGTTCGAGGTCACGACTATTTGGTCTCATGTGTATGATGCTGCTTGGTTTCTGAACTTCGCTATCGCTCATTTTCCTTGCATCTATTAGCTGCGAGGACATTTGTTTTGCAACACGCATAAATCGAGAAATGGTCCAAACTTTTGGTTAAAAAAAAAAAGACAAAGAAAACAGTGGATATGGTTCTCTCAGCCTTAACGTGGAGAAGTGGGAGAAGGCGTGTGTGGTTGTATCTCATATTCTCTCCTCCCGGCAGTGGTGAGCCGCACTGCTGCTCCTCAGAATGGTAGGGGCTGTTTTTTTCTTTGTTTTTGTAATGACCCGCCAAAACACAGACTGAGAACACTGCTGATTTCTGGGATTTGCCGCTGGAATGAATGCCTTGCTGAGATTCCCGCATTCTGCTGTGGTTTCCAAGTCTGTGTGTGTGTGCGTGCCTGTCTGAGTGCTTGTCGGCTGAGTGTGTGTGTGAGCCGCAAGGGTACTTGTTGGTTGAAAGGCCCCGCAGGGCCGGTACTTACCTGTGGCCGTGACTTTGAGGGTTGCAGCGGGGAAAACACTCAAGTAGCGGGGGTAGGCCTGCAACACTTAGAGCAGTGGGGAAAAACACTCAAGTAGCAGGTAGACCGGTACCGCTCGAGTAGTGGTAAAAGTGTCGGGTACTGGACACCGAGCAGAAGAAGACAAAAAGTTGGCATTTTTAGAGGCCCAGTAGTGGTAGGCTAGAGGTAGGCCGGTGCCAGTCCAAGTAGCCTTAGTCTAGGGCCTGTCCGGACGATAGCAGAGCCTGTAATGATGTTTCCCTCCGAAAGGGAGGAGGTACCGGTTGCTGGGAGACCGCTCGGCCTAGGAAGTCACCGACTCACCGCCCAAGAGGCCAGTAGGCCGCTATATCTTCTGGAGGAGCAAGTAGCTCCTCCTCATTGGCGGTATGCAAGGATTGGCAACATGCTGCTGGAGCCAAGCACTGGACTTGTGCAGCGCTGCCTGGAGGAGAAGAGCAGCTGGGCGCTCAGCCTGGCTATGGCAAGCAGCCCAGCTTGAGGAGGAGGAAGAAGGGGGCGAAGGAGGAGAGTGGCGAGGTACCTACCTGGCTATGGTGCACACCCTCTTCGTCACCTTGTTGGGCGCTGCATCTGGAAGGCCCCAGTTGGGGTAGTGCCACACCAAGGAAGCTCGAGGCAGAGTCAGGCGTGGCAGCTTAGTGAAGCAGCGGCATAGCTGCTTTGGGTTGTCCTTTGGACAGGAGTGCAGCAACATAGCTGCTTTGTGTTGTCCTTTGCACAGGAGGGCAGAGCCCTCAGTACTCCGCCATAGCCTAGGCATGTGAGAGGAGGAAGAAGGGGGGGAAGCCATAACTATGGTGGACCTGTTGTTGTGTCAGCAGTAAGAGGGAACTTCGGATATTGATTCTGGTTCATCCACTCATTGTTATTATTATTATTGGAAGAAGAATAAGATTGGCGAAGTGAAGGAGGAGGAGGAAGTTGGAGTGAAAAGGGGGATTTGTCATTGGTCTTGCTGGTGTACATCTTCTTTCTTCTTCTTCTTCTTCTTCTTCTTCTTCTTCTTCTTCTTCTTCTTCTTCTTCTTCTTCTTCTTCTCTCTCTCTTCTTTGGTCTCTATATCTTTGCAAGTGCTTTCATTTCTTTCGCAATTGGGTGGCATTGTCTTTCATTGTGAATTTGCACTTTGGGAATGACCAGGATCGTAACTTTTTTTTTTTTCCCCCAAAGAAAGGAAGGCTCGCTTGAGGGATATTGTGGTCTTATCAAGAGGAGGTAGAACCAGGGGTTCGTACTAGAGTAAACCCAAGACCACACTGTTTATGATCGCAGACTGGCTGAAGACTGAGCTGCACTTGGCCTTCCTAGCTTTGAGTATGTTAGAGAGGGCCGGGCCCATGCTCTCCTGGGCCAGCTCTCATAGAACGTCCGATAATTACTGCCGCATGTGGACTGAAAGTTGCACCAAATACAGCTATAATGACCATACACTCTACTCGGTTAAAGACAATATCCATGTTTTTGGATTAGCGTATACGGTCTGACTATCAGGCACTGCGGATTCTGCTGACCAGAAATCAGCGGTGACCTGAGTTACCAACCGGGCCGCCTGGGTCACCTTGGTTGCCCTAGCGGGCTGGCTGGGCAAGGGCCTGGGGGAAGGTTCCTGTTAAAAAATAGAAAACCCAAAAAAAAGGGGAAAAAAGTTAAACAACTATGATGCACAGAAAAATAAACTGAACACAACTATGTTGTCTAGCAGGGGGTATTCTGCCAGCACGAGTTGGCGTACTATTGGATCGACGGTTTGGGGCCTTCTACTTGGGTTTGGACCTAGGTCTTGTTTTCGATTTTCTCTTGGGAGTTACGAATAGTACTGCATACAGTGCATAGTGATAATAAGTTTTTTTGGATTCGAACGGCGTACCTTTTCCAGACTTTTTGACGTCGTTATTTTTTAGGACTGTAGTTATGTCGACCTGGTTCTATGGCTTTGCGCGGCTGTTTGGGTTAATGTGAGTTGACTTGGCGTAATGAGTGAGTTCTGGTGTTATAAAAAGACCGACGAGCACTGTCCGCCGTACCGACTTCAAGACCCCTGACGATCCTGGTTGGCGGCCAGGTGAAACCATGTCTGAGCTTAATGTTTATCTTTTAATAAAAGTCGCGTTCAAGACATGCGTCGTCGTGTTGGTTGTCTCCTTCCCCTCCGCCTTTCATTCGTCCACTTCTTTCTTCTCCTTCTTGTCAGTGCCTATCTGGCTTATGCCGGTCGTCTGAGTGATTCATGCATGTGAAGAAACGTCATCATTTTACGTGGTATTAGCGTATAACTATATACACCTGATTACATGGAGTAACCGACGTAGAAGTTAGACTACAGTTGAGTGGCTTTGGCAGTCCTACAACGATGGCGTCCAACAACAACATGAATGACACTCGTTCTTGTTATAACTGTGGGCAGCGGGGGCACATATCTAGGTTTTGTCCCTACTCTGATTGTCGTCTTAATGGTAGTCAGCCTTCGACCAGTATGGCTATGGTACCGGTCCAGGCTCCTTTGTTGACTGTTTCACCTAATCTTGTGTCTCAATGTAATGTAGGTATTGCGGTTCCGTCTTACAATGGTTATTTGGGGGGAGGAGGTTATTTGGGAAAAAGGGTTACGACTATTGAGGATGTCGTTGGGAAGATGAAGGTAAAACATGATGTCGATGAAGCTACGGAAAAGGCAGCCCGAGAGGAAGAGGAGCAGAGGAAACGCAAACGTGAGGAAGAAGAGCGTCGTCAACATGACAAGAAGGAACATTAGGAGTTTTAAGCACACGAGGTCATTGGAAGAAGAACGTGGAGAGTGAGGAGGTTACCAAGTTGAAAGTGGGAATAGAGGAGCTTCAAAAGCGGCCCTGTGTTGCTAGCACATGTACTGATGTGACGAAACTTCCAACAGAGGAAGTAGCCGATCTTCGAGGTGAACAAGCAGAAATGAAGAAAGCAACAGAGCAGCGTTTGGCCGATCTAGAGGAAGTGATTCACGCCTTGCAGAGACGATGTGAAGAAGCGGAAGCTAACGCTGAGACCTGGAAAGTTGCAGCACTCCGACCCGACAATAAGAGGGGTGGAGCGGTTATCGGTGGCACTCCTACGACACAAGCAAGGATTAGGCCCCGTTTGACGCACGTTGAGACCCCGAGTGGTGCCAAAAGAGTTGACGAAAGATTGAAGGGCATCGTGGAGCAACACTAGATGGAAGTTGACCATTTGAAGGAGATGAGATTACGGGAAGTCAACACTCGGAAGCAGAGTGAGCAAGAGATTGAACGTCTTAAGGAAGAAATGGCTCGGTTGGAGATGGCCAATCGTGACAAAGCACGCAGCAATCTGAAGGCTAGGCAGGATGAGGTGTTGGGATTGTCGACAAGGAAGGAAAAAGTGTGAGAAGAAGACCTGGCATGACCATCTACCTGCAAGGATAAGGGTAAGAACAACAAGGAAGCGTTTCTGCACGCAGTAAGCAAAGAGTTGAGGGTAAAAAAGAAAGAGGAGGTGATTTCTATTTGTGAGAAGGAAGGTATTTCGTACACCACGTTGCAGTCGACTAAGGAGATGATTGCACAAAAGCGGGCTGCAAGAGCTTTGGAAGACGATGAGAGTGGTTCCTCTAAAGAGAATGATCCATCAGTGCACGATGTTACCAATGATGAGGAATGTTTCGAGGCGGACGGGCGTGATTCTGCTGCTTTCTGAGATCACGTCGGAACATGGCTTTCCTATGGGAAGTTGTGCGACTTTGTTGTAAGCTTCGTTCTCATTCGTTGGACTCATTGCGATGTAAGTATCTTAATGCTTTGATGTGTGCTGCGGTTTGTGGATTAATCCTTGCTGCTCAGATTCCGTGGGGGGTCAAGTTAGCAAGTTTATTTTCTCATACCTTGTCTCGTTGTTGTGAAGAGGATGAAAAATGGAAGGGACCTGTCGTTTATGTTATTTTCTCGCCCTTGACTCGCCACATGTATATTAGTAGTACCGGTAGAGACCTGCAAACAAGGTGGAGGGAGCATGTTTATTGTTCTTGTCAGTCTACGTTGGTCGAAGGGTGCAGAAGGAATGAAAGATTATACAAGTGGCTGCGCAGGTGTGGGGCGCACACTTATGTGATTATTCCGCTTTGTAAGTGTTATGTTGAAGAGTTGTTGGTTACAAAGAAGTTTTTTATTCGGTTGTTATCGCCTACTCTGAATGTTAAAGATAATCCACGAAGGTCTCGGAGATATCGATCGGGGCTAAAGGAAAGGTTAAGTGTAAAGAGACGTTGTGAGGATAAGTCTTCTTCTACCCTTCTATGTGATTCTCGGACAAGCAATGGTTCCTTGGTGACTTTTAATTCTGTTGATGGTGTTGTTAGTCGAAGTCTAATTGATATTCTTAATTCTTGCAAGTCTCGTTCTATCCATAGGGTGGTTGTCAAATGTTTGGGTGGTGATCTGCTTCTTGAGCGATGAAAGATTATGAAGAGGTACGGTGGAATTATTGTGTCCTGCAATTCCGGAAGGGTAGAACTAAGGCATGCTCGGGGCTGGTTAAAGGGTGGTTTGACTTTGACTTTTGAGGTGATTGTGCCGTTTTTTAGTAAGTCATTGACATTGAAAGCTCCGTTGGCTGTTTTTTTTACTAATCCAAGTAGTCGACGTCTATTGAAAGGGTGGAGTTGTGAGAACTTGCTGGTCTCTTTGACTGTTGTGCATACCTTCGGTGAGAAGCGAACGAGGTTCCGTCTGCAATGTATTCTCTCAAATACCATTTTTTTGAACTTTGGGATACGAGTTAGGAAACGTATCATTATTCGGGTTACCTAGGATGATCGAATGTGTAAAGCCAAGATCCGTAAACTTTGTGCTCAGGTAATCTTTCGGATGGACGTAGGTAATGAATGGAAGTTGATGTTGATTCGAAGAATGAGAATTGTGTGGTGTCACAACAAAAAAGTGTTAGGGATGTAATTCATAATTTTTGTCGTTTTTCAAGGACAGAGCAAGCGGTTTGTTCTTCTGACCAGTGTGACTCAGCACTACCAAGAATTAATGGCCGCATATCCTTTCAGTTGAATGACACTTCCTTTCTTCTGGAGTGGGCGAAGAATTCGAAGAACCTCTTGCAACCTTCAATAAGTTGTTTATTTGGTGCCTTGCGCTTTCAAATTCTGACAGTTTTTTCTACGCATCCTTCACTTCCTTATGTGGATCCCCTTTGTCTTTCTAATGACAGTGTAAGAGATTGTTTTGTGAATTCCGACTTGTCTCATATCTCCGCTGCAAGGACGACCTGGAATTGGTCCGACCGCTTCTGCGGAACCTTGTCTGCAGCCCTGTGGATCATAACTTGGGAGATACTCTTGTGTGCTGCCCTGTAGTTTACAAGCAAGGAATAACCAAATTGTTTTTCAGTAACCCATCTTTCACTCATTGTAAGGATGAAGAAAGTTGTGTGTTGGAGATGTGTCGCAATAAGTATATGAGTGCTGGTTTGCAGGGGCTTGGGAAGTGGAAGAAGGACAAGAGTTTACGAAGGGCTTACTGCATTGTGAAGCACAAGGACACTACTCGTTGGAGACCAATTTGGCCATCATATCCGGAAAGTTCGATAGTTGGTGGTCGAGTGGTTTCTCGCGCTGTAAATGTGTTGCTTTGGAGTTTACCAAGTGATTCGAATTTGAACTTGCTCAGTGCGGATGGTCTGCTCAAATGTTTGGTGGATGTGAATAAGGGATTGAACAAAGATGATGAGGTGATTGGCGCATCCTTCGACGTTAAGGAAATGTTTTCTAATCTCTCCCATCCTTCAATTTATGCGATCTCTTTCGTGGGTAATTGACTACTGGATAGAGAAAGGTATACGTTCTGTAGGAATAAGGAAGCAAGGGAAGGGGGGGGGGCTAAGCTTATCAAAGGGCGTGTGGAGATGGGATGGAAGGGAATCTCCCTGTAGATGGTTATGATTTTTTTTCGTTTTTTCACATTCTTGCGCCAGACTATGGGAATCTCAATAGGCAAGTCGCCAAGCCCTGCGCTAGCACGCGCCTATTTGATTAGGGAAGGAAGAATCACTTTCGTAACAGATTGGGGAAGGAATAATCGTTAGGGTGGGGAGGAGGTTGGGGAAGGCCAGTAAGCTTGCCTCACACCACAACTCTCAAAGTCTCCTTTGAGGGTTGGAGGGGTGCGATGGGGTATGTCAGGAATAGTTTCACACCATAAGTCAAGCGGTCCCCATCAGGGGTGAAAACAAATGGTGGGGAATGAAGGTTGGGGGGAAAATGGTGTTGGTTCCTGTTGCCTAGGATTTGCCCTTGTTGAGATTCTCATGGGGTAGCAACTTGTTCTGTGAAAGGACCTCGTTTCCGTCATTTGTTTAGCCAAAGGTTGTTTGAACCACCGGTAAGTTTCCCAACAGTTTTGTTCAGGATACAATCCAAAAGCTTGATGATGGAGAGGCATAGTAACAAGGAACAATGAATGAATTTGGGCTTAGCTACTGGATAAATGTTTTTGTCGAACCCTATTGTCAATGGGATGTTGGACCCGTTTTCTAGCAAGTGGTACTCCCCATCAAATTATAGTCATTCCCTTGGCAAAACCTTGATTCGGGTGGGTTCTTTTACCTCCATTTGGATAGAGATCTTGCACAGTGATGTTCCAAAAAACAAAAAAAACAAAAAGTTTTATAACTTATGAACTATGATGTTCCAAGAAGAAAGGAAAAAAAGCAACCCTCTTTTCTAGTTTTTTTTTTTTTTTTTTGCTCGACAATTGTGCTCTACATTTCAACATGTCATGAGGGTATTGATCGAGTGCATAACAATTGATTGAAAATATGCTACTGTGAGTATAATTGCAAGTTCAATCTCTTGCTGGCACTTGGAAAATACATCATAATGCATGGTATGTTAGAAGAAGTACGACGTTCCTTACACCATATTTCGACTGCTACCAAGCAATTTTCATGTAGTATCTTCTCTAAAAGCTTCACCCCGCGTTCTACTTCATCTAACCAACTTCCTGTTTCCATATACGCTTAGCTCAAGTGTCTTTAAAAGAACAAGAGTTGTTGTTATCATCAAACTTGTAAGAGGATAGGTGAATCCCGATGATATCGTTTATATTCATATGGGTTCGCATTAACAAAAAAGTAAGCTTCAAGTCTATCTGGAGATAGAGGTATTTACCTACTCAATGTTTATTAATGAGCGTACTATAAGTTTAAACTTTAAACCTTTTTTATGAATTTTATTTTTAAATTATGTGTATCACTAGAATTTGTTATTTGGAAACTACAGAACGTCAGACAAAACTTTAGTAAGTATTTAAGAGATCTAAAAACATGTTGTTTGGAAAAACGTTTGGTTTGAATTTGAGTTGATGTTTAATAATCTTATTGAAGTTCTATAATCTGTATTGTTTCAAGTTTATTGTATCAAGTTGTTAGTAGTTTCCAAGGTAGTTTTTAGCAGTGCACAACGCAAGGTTCAAATCATTCGAGCGAAGTACCAAATTGTTTCAATTTTTTTGCATAATCAATGTCAAAATATATTATAATATACTAACATGTAAATATTTGAGTTTGCCCCAACCTCGAGTAGCCAAACATATTTATGTTATATTAAGTCCATATCAGGAAGTCTACCCCTTACAGATGAATGTGAAGAGCACTATGAACATGAAAGTGAAAGTAAACAGATGTTAAAGAATAAAATATTAAACATTTAGAAGTTCATAAACTAACTAATGATAATAAATTTGAGTGCGTATGAGTAAAAGGGTTTAGTATTCCTTGGTGCTATGTATTGCGGATTGTTGTTGAGGAGGTCTTTAAGCCACGATAATAGAACTCACAAAATATTTTTCTTTATCATTTTCTTTTGCGTTTTTTTTTTTTTATAAGTCGTAAGATATAACTATTCACCTTGTATTTTTTTAAGTGCACAATATAAGGTTTGAATCCTTTGGG